TAGCGGGAGATATACAATGATTGTGAAATAAGAGATACTTATCAAATATTTGATATATATTTTTGTATAGTTTCAATACCGTCTCGTTTTTTCCACATCTCTCGATTTTTTTGAGAGCAGTTATCTAGATTATGATGACTTCAAGTTCGGTTAACCTTAACCCTGAACGAAACCATAAATTGAACCCGAGTTTGGGAGGAGTATAGTTTCTTACAAAATTTAGAATGCTTATTCTTCGTATAGTTTCGATTCCTATTATGTCTTCGGTATCTATTTATCTGCTTTGAGAGGAATTTTCTAGCTTATGATGACTCAAGGCTCTCGATTGATCTATACCCTATAGCAATAGCCATAAATAGATCCAAGTTTGAGAACTGATAACCATTTGATATACTTACAGAATTACAATGAGTATTCTTCGCATACTTTCGATTCTCATTCTCTTTTTCCTCTTCTATCAATCCATTTTGAAATGTATTGTCTACGTTATGATGACTTCAAGCTATAGGTTAACTTAAACCCCGTAGCAGAACTCATAAAATGAAGCAGAGTTGCCACTCACATTGTGCAATCGGTATATGAAATATAGTATCGGACCTCATAAATACTCTTAAGTAGCTCGTAGCAACTCTCTGAGGGAACTACCATTTCATTTAAGTTTAAATAGTTCGGAAACTGACTATGACTTTTGCGCACTAAATTGGGAGCTTATTTAAAAGAAAACGAAGTTAGTAAGATGTATAAAATTTGAGCAATAATTTTGAGTTCCATAGCTAATTATTACTTCCAATGTAAACTTTCAATATCACGAATTTCAACTATCCATCAATAGTAATAACTTCAAGAGTCCCAGAAGTACCAGGTTCATCAGAATTTTGTGTCCCCTATCTAATATACCAATCATAGTTCTCTGTCGCATAATAACCACCGTTTTTTGAAGCTTATTTTTAAAAAGATCGTCTACTCTAATTCTCTCTGCGCATCTAATAAAAAGTATTATGGGAAACTTCGGGCCAATACAAGTTTACGATTGATTAGAGTAAGAGTGGAAGGACAGGAATTCTAATGGGCCGACAGTGATTTTAATGGAGTGTGGTACACCTTAGGTCGCGTTCGCGGTAACCTCAGTTAAATTATATTCTAAAGCAAGGAACTTTGAAGATGAGAAACAGAATTGGTTTTAGCGTAAATTTCAAGTAAAAAAAAGGTCTCTAAGAAAAGTTTAGAAAAAAGAAAAATTCCAAAAAAGGCAAAATTTTTACAACAAAAAAAATTAATTAATTTATCAAAACAGTATTTTTTAACAAAAAATATGAAAATTTTTTTTTAAAAATTTCAATATCTTAAAGTAGTGTGTGTTCTT